ACACACACACACACACACACACACACACACACACACACACACACACACACACTAAAATCTCAAAGTTGAATCTTATCTAATTTGTTTGTCTGCATATACTTAGCCCATGTTTGCTCTTATTTAAAAAGGTTAGAAACAGATGCAGCAGATGACGTTAACAGACAATATTGTCTTTTTATCTCATGTTTAATTTACTGCAGGTCAAGGTCCAAATGTCCTGAATATGATGCTGGGTTTTTCGTACTTCGGCGTAATGTACGCAGTTCTACTCCGGCTGTCTACATAAGATAATATAAGATAAAGCTTTATTGATCCCTCGGGGGGGAATTTAGATGTTGCAGCAGCACAAAGTAAGAAATAGAGAAGTAAAAATAAGAGATGTATACAAGAGTACAAGAGTAGCAATAAAAGACAAATGTACGAGCTAAGTGGAGCGCAGCGTGGCTACAGCGCATACATATAACCGTGATGTCCCAGGTTCCATTGCAGCCTTGTGACCGTTGTTATGAGATAAAGATACACGGTATGATGAGTAGCAGCCAGTCCAGTATAAACCGTGTACAATGTACATGACTGGAACTCTGGCCAAAGGTTTAACCACAGCGGCTGCACACTGTACCTGGTGATGAGCTTCTTGTTGTAGCGCCTCTCGTAGGCCGCACTGATGGCGAGCGACGCCACGAAGGAACAGTCAGACACCACCGTCTGGACAAATGAGAGAGGACCATACTCATCATGATCATGATGTTCATCATACTCAATATATAAGTGAAGCGGCTCCTCAATCATGTCAATAACAAAAGACCGACTGTGCAGCAGCGTGGTATCATGGGAGTTGTTGTTCTCATTGATAAACAACAGTCGTTGCAGATGAAAGTCTACGTGACGTCTCTCAGGTAAAAATAACTGATTTATTTACGTTACATTGAGTCATGTTTAGTCACATTATGTCATTTCATTGTGATGAAATAGAACCAGCTAACGTTAGCCGACATGACGTTAACTCGCTAACTTTCCTCCTCGCTCTGACGACACGCCTTCACCGTGAAGAAAAAGATGTCTGTGGGAACATTTTGGGAACATTTTGGATAATGTAAGTTCACAACTCAACAAAATATAGAACACAGATCTAGTCTTTTAATGCAGAAATATTATATAATATACCTTTAAAGTGAACTTTATGCCAGTACTATCCCTACACATCACCGCATACATTTAGATAAGAACAAACTAAATGAGTTGGACAGTTAAACATATAAACTGTGGAGGATGCAGAATGTTTTACTCATTTAATCTACCATGAAGACCCTGATTTGTGAGAACACTGGGTCCTCTACTGGCTGACTCACACCAACAGGATCTGCCAACATCAGAACCTCAAACAACCTCGTCTTCTTCCAAACACACAGGAGCAGAGCACCAGTTACAACCAGAACAGTTAACGAGCCGAGACATTCACTATAATAATGAAGAAGGTGAGAAGCTGCTGGATCCACTGACCTGCTTGATGCTGAAGCTGGACACAGACATGATCATGGTCGGGTTATTGCAGAGCTCGTCTGGACGGACCCAGCGGGAGAAGATGGCTGTCTGTTTGGGCGACAGCGCCAGTTTCCCTGACTTGTCCCTGGTGAGAAGAAATAGAAAACAAAGAGTTAAAGAATATGTTTAATTAGTTCAGCTCTACTGACACAGATGATCTGTTCCGTCCATCACTAAACTGCATTTAAAGTTTGATGTAGAAACCGTTTTCCTTCAACGCTTCAACTGAGTGACTTTTACAATCTAACACTGATCTTAACTGGCTTGTGTAACAACTTGAGCAGCACTTATTAGATTTGACGCTGTGCTGCTAACCTGAAAAATAAAAAACATTAGAAAGCAAACTCACGAGAAAGGGACGGGAAAGGCGAATCTCTCCCTCAGGTCCACGCTCATGAAGGGCACGTAGGCGATGCTATTGATGGTAGAGGTACTCCTGAACATGAGGAAAGAAAGGTTTGTGTTTTAGTCAGTTTTGTGGCTCGTGATTCCAAAAGAGAAACTGTTTCAGACTTGTAGTCAGTGTGAAGTGTAGTGGCACTCACACGCCACCAGATGGCGCCAAAGTCATGATTCTGTTATTTAATCGTCTTCTCAGCTTTTTTTCAAACATTTCCAGAACATTCGCAGTGACAAAGTTAAAGATGCCGCGAGTGGAGAAGTCCACAAAAGTTTGAATGACGTCCTGCACTAAACTCTGACATGTTGTTTCTTTTTCAGTTTAGTTTCAACATCAGAAATCAGGTTATGTTGCTTCTGAATCGTTTGTATTCACCTTTAGAAGCTTTTAACAGTCACATATTCAGACACTAAGATCAGATTACACACATTTTTAAATATGTAAACTCACCGTGTCCTTGACTTGACTGTGACATAAAATCTCACTGATTTAAAAACATTTTAGGACTTGTTTTCTAAGATTTGTCTATTTTTAGCACTTTTCATTGATTGGAAAGTAGTATTTGGGCCAATTCATTATCTTAAATGAAGATACGCGAACAAGTGTACTCAAACCCACAGCAGACTGAAATGGAAAGACTTTTTCCAAATGAGGCAAGCAAACCGCAGGTCATGTGACAAGAAGTAACCAACCAGCTCAACAGGCTTCACACTTTATGGACGTCACGAAACCCCCAACTGCTCACCTGAGCACCTCGATCTCGTCAGACGTGTAGCGCTGACCCTGAGGCTCGCTGGACTGGACCGCCCGGACCGGCTGGGGTTGCGGTCGGTCATGGAGACTGAATTCTGGCCCGAGGGGGAGAAACTGGCGGACCGGCCCCCCAGAACTGGCACCGGCAGTGCTGGGCTTGGCTCCAGGAGGCCCCGTCCTGTCCTGAGTTGGAGTCGATCTGGACTGGGACTCTTTAAGACCCTCAGCCCTGAAAGAACACAGCGGAGAGGTTTGTTATTTTCTGGCAATAACAGAGAAAAACAATAGAGAATACATAAAACAATCATAACAACTGTTTGATTTAAGGAAGAGGACGGAGACACGGTGCAGCTGGAACACGAAGCACTTCTATTCACCTGTCTAAAGCTTGACGGGCCAGCTGCTTCAGCTTAGTCTGCAGCGCCTGGTCCGATGTCTCGTTGGACTGTCCCAAACACAGAAGGAGAAACAGACGTGGAAGTAAGCAGAGATAACGTGAAATACACACTGATAGAGAGCGAGAGAGAGACAGAGAGATATGGAGAGAGAGAGAGAGAGAGAGACAGAGAGATATGGAGAGAGAGAGAGAGAGAGAGGGAGAGAGAGTGAGAGGGAGAGGGAGAGAGAGAGAGTGAGAGGGAGAGGGAGTGAGAGGGAGAGACAGAGAGATATGGAGAGAGAGAGAGTGAGAGGGAGAGAGAGAGAGGGAGAGGGAGAGGGAGAGAGGGAGAGGGAGAGAGAGTGAGAGGGAGAGAGAGAGAGAGAGAGAGAGCTACCGTGTTGATGCACAGCTCCACAGCCTGAGTGTACAGCTCAACGGCTTCGTCGGCATTTCCCTTCTCGTCTTCCTCGAAGGCCTGAGTCACCAGGAAGTGAGCTCGCTCCAGATCCACCTGCTGCCGGGACTTCAGAGGGTCGCTCTTCTGGGCCTGGACTGGGGTCAGAGGTCAAGGGAAGGAACGGTCAGGACACGAAACACTTTGTGAAGAGATACCACGATCACTACAGATACAAATAAAACTGTTGCATCTTTTTATATCTAAATATATATATACTGTATATATATATTTAGATATAGATCAATGAGGGTAGAATCAGTTGGTTTCAAAGTGAGACTGGAGTTATTCTTCAGCAACAGTATTATAAGCATAATGAGAAAAAATAAAACAATATTAAAAGTTTATGAGAATTTGAAAAAAACAAACAGAAAAGAGCAGCAACACGCAACGTCATCTACTGGCTGTCTAACAAAACAGGACACTCCCTGTGTCTCTGTGCTCACACACACACACACACTCTCTGTCTGTCTGTCTGTCTGTCTGTCTGTCTGTCTCTCTGTCTCTCTCTCTCTCTCTCTCTCTCTCTCTCTCTCTCTCTCAGTGGGATGAGAGTCATGGAAAGAAACAGTCAGAAAGTAAGTCCTTAGTTCAGTAACAGCCCTGAACTGTTTCTTACTTATTTCTAATCACAAGCACTTCACCTTTAGATCAGATTACAGTAACTCCAGGTGAACAGTACAGAGGGATGAATAACAACATTTAACACAGTAAAGACATGTGTTGTGGATGCATTGGGGCTTGGCCATGTTTCACTCTAACAGAGCTCTTACCAGCATTGTGGAGCGCCTGGACTCGATCCAAGTACTCGTTCACTTTGTCCTGGATTCCCTCCAGTTTGGACCCGGCCATGCCCGCATAGATCAGGGCCTGGGCCGCCTCCTGCAGCAGAAGAGGATGTTTTTACTTATTTAGTCTCAAACTTACAACAATTACAGAAAAGGAGCAGTTGACTATTAATATCTCAGATCTCAGACTTCAACAATATTAATTAAATATGAATACGGAAAATCACACAAGTAAAAAAAGAGAATCTAAAACATAAAATAGTGCAGTAAGTAAGTGTTTCGTTTTGTATATTGTATTATAACAATATAGCTAACAAGTAGCGGGGACTTTAAAAAGAGCAGAGAACACAATGTAAACAGAATTATTATCTAATAAAAGAAAAAAAACACAAAATTATTAATAAAATAAAATAGCTAAATGGTCTCTTCTTATAACTCCAAGACATTAATAATAACTGCAGTATAGTTCTCTTATAATAAACAAAACAATAACACCAATACAGGTTGTGTCTTATAGATATATAGAGACAATAAATACTTTAAACTAATAAAGTATTCAGCAGACACTCGTGTTTTCTTATCATGTGTAAGTAAAAGTATAAAGTATGACATCAAAATATTTTATAAGATGTAAAGTCAGTCACATCTTTATCATAAATAAATGTTCCTGTAGTTTAATAAACAGATAATGAGGTAGTTTAGTTTATTTAGTTTGCACAATTTAAACAATAAAATAAAAATAAACAAACATAACAGAGATAAATAATATCACAGTGCAGGGAACATACAATGAATATGCATTATTGACAAGATGTTTTTACAAGATATGAAATATGATAACAATATAAATACATTCAAACAACAAAAGAAAGACAATGTACTGTAATCCAGGGAGGAGAGCTACACACCGTGGAAGTGAAAGTGAATGTTTACCTTCAGGTAGCACGCGCTAACGTTGACAGGTAGCAGCTGTATTTTACACCTGTCCACGTTAAAGCCACTTAACGTACCTTATAATAAAACACAGCCTCGTTATATTTGCCGCTCTGGTCGTGGGTCACGGCTGTTTTGGCAAATTTGACAGCATCGAGCTCCAGCGCCGTGCTGTCCATGCTGAACACAACTGTTGACAGTAGTGACTCCGAGTTAGCCTAGGCTAGCTAACCGTTAGCTTCCACCAAATGTAGCTAAATGTCTGTTTTTTCACTGGAAACTCGGTTCGTTTCATCGACTCGGACAAAGCAGAGTAAAGATGATCCTCACGAGCGTCTTTAATCCAGCGGTTTAAACTGTCCAGGTACAGTTTTGTTGCTTTACCTGTTGACAGATCACTGCTCTGAACTAGCGGATACCAAAACAAAACATCTTGTTTCCGGGTAGCCACGATTCGCGCAGTCGCAGTAGAGGACTCAGGCGAAACCGTAGTGTGGTGCGTTCACGTGCGGTAAGAATCAACATCTTATTTTGAACAAATGCAAAACAAAATAATTTATAACAGTCAAATTAGTTCATTTGTGGAATCGTTTTCAAAAAGACATGCAAATGTGTAATAAGCATGATTGATTTTAAAGGATATTTGAAAATAACGTGATGAACAAATATAAAACTGAGGTATTCTAATAGACACTATGAAGAAAAGAGAAAGGTCAACACTGTAGCTGCTGCTGAGACAGGATCTTCAGCCCGGTGTGGTGTTCAGGTGATCAGGCATCAGTGTGCCTGTTTTGTTCATCACTTACCAAAGCTTCAATGGTTTTATTTCCTTAAGTGGGGAGTGCTGCACTGTGTAGGAGCTCTTTAAGGATGAAGCAAGCAGTCCATGAGGGTGGAAAACAGGAGGCACTCTGATGTTACCTTAAAAATCCTTTAATAAATAAAGTATATCCAAAAATCAGAGTGTAATACCAAAGACTTCTTTCTTACTCAAGGTGGACAGTCATTGTCACATAAAATAATCCAATGAACAAATAGCCAAGAAATACCGGGTGTGTAATACATCTTTCTGTTATGTGATGTAATGTTGGAGTGCATGTATTCATTAATTTAATAATGAATTCATTATAAAACGAATCATTTGTCATTGCTCGTATCGGTGGATTCCAGTCTGTCGCTCTAAGCGTTGACACATATATGCAGCAATGAACAGCCCATCTTATCGTATTGACATTTCAGTTACAAAACAAAAAGACAACAACATGAAATCCTCTTTGTAAAACACCCGATATGACACTTACTGCCTCGAGCTATGGCGTTTGTGCATCCTGCTCAAGCACGTGAGACGTTGTTCATCGAGCAACATGTGAGAAACAAAGACAATGACAACAATGTGTGGCGGCATTTTTATTTAATGCGAGAGACTAAAACATGAATTTGCTTCGAGATAGATTGGTCATATATTACTGTCACTCCTACATATTGATATATTCTTTACATTCTTTACAAATATTAATGAGGAAAGCAGCTCTGAACATTCTGTTGAGTGGATGCAGCGCCCTCTGTTGGCCAATCAGAGGCAGCAATTTAAAAAGTGACAAGAAGAAACAGGAAGCTTTGAGGAAGTTTGTCCCTCATTCACTATAAGCTAATATATATAACATGGAATCATCTCTAACGAAGATGCACACAGAAACAAACACACACACATTTGATATTTATAAGCTGGTCAATATGATCATAATCTTTGCAGAGTATCCAGTAACCTTCTCAAGTCTGACTGCAGTGTTTAAACAGTTAAAGCTTCCTGTTTGCAGATCCATCGTTTCTTTTCCTCACACATCTCTGATGTCCATCCTATGGTCTGGATAGAAACGGCACAGTGGCCTTCAGTAGGAGCTCCTATCCAGGAGCTGAAGGAACAACATGATGTTTAGATCAAAGGCTGATAGAACATTTGATTCAACGTGTTAAAGAATGTTTCTCTTACGTTTGAGTCAGATCACTTCCATCGATCCACTTCCACTTCCCTTCTTCAACTCTCAGGCCGATCCAGTATCCACTCTCTTCAGGTTTACCCCAGCTGTAATCATTGATGAGGGTCTGATGTAACAGAAACATTATAATATGTCAACTTTTTATTTTATTTACAAATCAGAAACGTTTTATTGCTAAAGTATGTTACTCATACAAGGAATATGACTTGGCGATCGGTGTGTGACGATAAAAATAATGTTTTAGTAAAAGACATAACTCAAAAATAGAAAACATGAAAATGTACAAATAAATATGATAAACAAAACAAAGAAATAAAGAGTATGTTTAAACATGTAGGTTATTAAAGAGTCAATTGTGTATTTAAAGAGAAGAGTTGTGCAAAGGTGAGTAACTGTAAGTAATTGTCTTGAGGATGTAAGAGCTTATTTACATCATTTATATTTATTTATATATTTATATATTGGTAAACATGTCCTACAGACTCTCCTAGAAAATATATTTTGATTAATAACTGTGTCATAAACATTCCCACAGTTCTCTCATTACCTTCTCCAGTTGATTTTGTACAACAACCATATCTGCATTCCTTCCTCGACAGTTTTCTCGAGCTTGTTCCCAGGTTATCTGATCAGACGTATCAGCGTTATGAATCACATAGCAGCTGGCCTTGTTGTGTTTCCAGCCCTTCAGACAAGCTTTACACTGTCTCCCTGAAAGAACAGAGACCAACAATAAACAACTTCATTGTGATGTTATTATTGGTTGTTTTTGGACCTAATTAATGTAATCTGATCATACCATTAGTTTCTTTGGGGCAGTAGGCATCGATGGTCCACTGAGCTCTGCTGATTTTGAGCTCATTCCGGTTCGTCTCCATGGTTTGTATTAGTTCTGTTAAGTTGTTCCTCTCTGTCTTCAGCTGCTGGTTCTCTGTTGTTAGGTTTGTGATCTTGCTTTCTAAGACAGTATAGTTTTGTGTCAGGTTGCCCAACTGGACTGTCAGATTGCTGCGTTCCCTTCTGAAGTTGTCATTGTCTAAGCTGAGTTTGTAGTTGAGGTTTGTCAGGTTTTCTTTTAACTGGTTCAGCTCCGTTATATCACGACTTAATCTGGCAACTGAAAAATACAAATTTGACTTTTTAATTATAATGATATTGTTACTTCGGTTTTGTCAATTTACCTGCAAGTCTGTCTCACTTCAGGTTTTCCAGCGTTTTGGAAGATTTGAACAAATCCCATGAAAATACTAAAACCAAAAATGTGTTGGACTTCCCTAATGGGTTCTGTTGCACTCAGACCCAAGACCTTTGGTTCTTACTGAAGAAGTAAATATATGACACTGTTGAGAACAAACGGACAATGTAGCTTTGAGTCAATTGTCTCTGGGATTGACTCAAAAGCAGCCCAGTTGCCAGGGAAAAAAAGTAAGTTTCTGCACACCACGGATACGATGAATGTCGTCATTGTTGCATTCGGTAAAAGCAAGTGATACGTTGGGATAGCTAGGAGAATGAGCAGCGGCTATAGAAAGTTACGTGTAGTGATAACAAGTACAACAAAGAAGAATGTCCACTGATGGCATTCAGAGAACGATTGATAAGTCAGACAAATACAAGACTTTGACCCAGGAGACCACTGTGTCCCAAGTGAAACCCAAGATATTGGTTGCATTGATGATTGTTATGTACTGTTGATACGCGTGACACATTATGTTAGAAAATCTGCGAAGGTTGTTCTTTATTTACGCTAGTTACATTATATTGTTACGTTCGGTTGTTATGTTGTGTTGTTACGTTGTATTGTTACGTTCGGTTGTTATGTTGTGTTGTTACGTTGTATTGTTACGTTCGGTTGTTGCGTTGCGTTGTTGCATTGCATTGTTACGTTCGGTTGTTGCGTTGCATTGTTGTGTTGCGTTGTTACGTTATGTTGTTACATTTTAATTTCAACACAAATCAGGACAATTTTTAAACCTGAAAGTACTTTGTTGCCTAATCCAAACCAGTTGTTTTAGAACGTGGCATTGCGCGTTTCTGCAAATGTGATATGATGCTGATATGAAACGTATTTATGAAACATATTTTTGGTTCAGAAATGTCAACATTCAACGTTTCCTGTGGTTTACATGCCACCCAGTGCCACAGTGTGGCTCATTGATGTGTTTTTAATAGAGATCTGTGGCAGAGAGTGAAGATCGGGCTTTAAAACACACTTGCTAGTGGATACATTCAGTGCTGGTTTGGGTCTAATCATGGGATTTGTTGACAATAAGAAAAATATAGAATATCACTTTAATCATCCTTTAATTCCTTTTATGTATAATGTATTTTTCCCTCATTGAAAGTCTCCTACAAATTAAACAATTCAATCGACTAAACCAAGTTCTTCATTCTGAAGTTAAAGTTAAATTGGGGAAATATTAACAATACAGTTTAGATTCATTCATTTTGTTTCTCTGCGTATCTCAACGAGCTTCTCTAATGCAGAATATGGATTAAATGGCCACACATTGTTTAACATAAACATCTTATGAATTACTTCCTGTCTGAATACATCGCTACAGTGATTATTCTGCCCAGAAGTTAACTTTGTGTAACAGACAGAAATGCATGATATGTAAAACAAACTACCAATAGATAGTCTGAGCTTCTGATACATAACCGATAGTGTTATTGAAGGTTTGTCTCATGTTAAATACTTACGGAAGTAACAGACGGCTATGAGGCCCAACAGCAAAATGACACAAAGAATCCCCAAACAAGCCAGCAGCTGATAGCGGCGATGTCTGCTGTTTGCTTTCTTGTCTGGCAAGAATCCTGCTGAGACAAACATATATATACACACATATATATATATATATACACACACACACGCATATATATATATATATATATATA